TGAATATCTCATTTAATGAGAATCTAAATCCTATTGATTGACATTTTCCTCTCAAATTTTGAAAAATGAATAAAACTTAGTATGGTCTCATCTAACAGTTGAACAGTTTTTAATTTTAAGAGAAATCAATCAAGAAGATCGAGCTTTAAAACTAATGCCTTATGATTAATAATTGTTTTTAATAAAAATTCAAGTTTTGGCCATTTTACATACAACCAATACCAAAAATTTGGTCTCATCGATCTGGCCCATTTTCATTTGATGGATGTTAAGGTTGGATGTAGGGGTGTAAATGGCATCCAAAAATCCAAGTATGTATTTTGAGTTTTGATATAATTGAACCAGATATGACTAGAGGTGTAAATAGGGCCGTGCCGCCTGTGGCCTGGCCCGCCCCAATCCAACTTTGGATTGGTACGCGGACTGTGCCAGGCCCCGACACGATAGTCCGTGTTGGGTTTGGGGTTCGGAGTCTATGGGCTAGCACAGTTCACGGGCCCATAAAGGGTCACGCTCAGTCCACTCGAGAACTAGTCGTTGGGGACCCTAGGGGTGAGCATTCGGTTTATTCGATTAAAAACCGAACTTATAAAATATAAAACCAAGTCGGAAGCGCAATTTTTGGTTATTCCGATTAAAACTGAATTTTATTAATATTATATATTATATATTTATGTATATTATAATATATGTATATGTTAATGTATTTTATATTTTAATATTATACACATATTATAATATATTATGTTTTGCATATTAATAATATATATTATATTATGTATATAATAAATTTCAGTTAATTCGGTTAATCAAATTCCAATAATAAAAACCGATTTTTTTTTTAAATTGAATTAACTGAACCGAAAAACTAAAAACCAAAAAAACCGAACCAAACAAATCGAGACTGAAAGTTTCAGTTCGGTTTTTCAATTTAAACCAAACAATGCTCACCCCTAGGGGACCCCCCATGGCGCTTTTGGGGGATTTTTTACAGAAATACCCCCAAAACAGCTATAAACAACTATATAGGAGGGTATTTATGTATTTTGGTTATGGGGGGAGAAAAATGACAAAATTCCCCCAATACCTATGTAACATCTAGTTTAGGGGCATTTTGGGTAAAATGATAAATAACTTTACGATTACCAAAATACCCCTCCCAACAACTAAAAAATGACTAGTTTTTAGGGTATTTTGGCCAATTGAATTATTTTCAATTCCTATAAATAGCCTTATCCTCCACCATTCTCATCACACCAATTCAACAATTCTCTTAATATCTTCTCTCATACATTCTCTAAAGTTTGAAGTGATCTGAACTCTGATTAACCGATTCTCTATTTCTCAACTTTATTGAAGTTTCAACAATAAGGCTTGCTCAACCAGCTCAAGTATCTCAAATTAGCAATTTCGGAGGCTTGGACTCTTGGAGTTGAAAGGCTTCAACAGTTGAAATCAAGTTGGGATTCCGAACTGGCAATTCAAATAAGTCCAATTAAATTAATTTTTATTTTTTTTAGAATTTAAAAAATGGTCGACTCCTCCCGAAACCAATTCCCCAACATGTTCAATGTCAACGATATTCAGTTGCATCATGATAGTGTTAGCACTGATATTGATAGAACTTCCACCCCTAGTATTGATACTAGGGGAAGAAAAAGAGGGCATCTAAGTTGATTAGTCCGGTTTGGAAAATATTTAAAGTAGAGGATGTTGAGGGGAAGGGAAAAAGAGTTGTTTGCCAAAAATATAGGAAAGACTTTAGCTATTATAGTAAGGATGGTACTGGCCATTTGAGCAGACATATGCTCACCCATGAGAAAGAAGAAGAAGAAAAACAACACAAACACAAACTGGGCAGGGGGGGGGGTCGGTACATTTAAATATTCTCAAGAAAAAATGAGGCAAGAATTAGCAAAATACATTGTACATACTGAACAACCATTTTTGTTAGCTGAAGATACTAAACTTGAAAAATGGTTATGTAATTCTATAAACCCACAATATAAAAAAGTTTATAAGAATACTATTAGATTAGATGCTTTAAAAAATTTTATTCACATAAATAAAATTTAATTTATATGTTACCAAATCTTAATTCTAAAGTTGCAATTACTTCTATGTTTGGACTTCTAAGTTTAACATAATTTATATTTGTGCTACCGGTTATTTTATTAATGGAAATTGGCTTTTAAATAAAAGAATTGTAAATTTTACTAGGCTTGAATGGCCACATATTAGCCCAGCTATTGCTGCAAGCATTTTAAATATTTTACATGCTTATGAAATTGAGAATAAATTATTTTCTATTAGATTTGATAATGCCAGTAATTATGATTCAACAATAAATATTTTAAAATCTCAGTTAAAACCATGTTTAAATGGTAAATTATTTAATATCAAATGTGCATGTCACATATTAAATTTATGTATTCAGGATTTTTTAAATATTATTTCTACTCATATTTCTAAAATTAGAAATTGTATTATATATATTAAAAGTTTTGGAGCAAGAAAACAAGAATTTAAATATTTATGTCAAAATGATGGTCTAAAATATAAAAATTTTATATTAGATGTTAAATATAAATGGAATTCTACCTATGCTATGGTAAAGTTGTATTTCTCATAAACACATTCTTACTGATTTTTATAATGCAAAAATGCCTAATGATATTATATTTGATGAAGGTTAGGAAATTACAATTTGTATAAGATATTTTTTTTAACATTTTTATGATGTAACTGAATTATCAGGTATTTATTATCCAACTAGTTGTAATTTACCTTACCAGTTAATAGTGATTAGTGATTGTTTTGCAAAATATAGAAATAATCCACAATTTAAAAGTATTGTTGAAATAATGGAAAATAAATTTAAACAATATTGGGAGAACATTTCTCATTATTATTGCTTAGATACAATATTAGATTCTAGGATTAGGAAAGTTGGTTTAGATATTTTACTTGAAACATATTGTGAAAATATGAATAATGAAATTGAAAATAAAAAAGAATAAATTAATAGTTTATTATTTGAAATGTACAGTTTATATGAAGTTGAAGTAATAGGAAATAATTCTACAAGTTGTATAGCTGCGACTTCTACTTTTGAACTTGAGCCCAGTAGTAGAAGATAAAACTTTTTTAGGTGAACTTAACTTTTATTTTCAAGCAATTTTTTTTTTTTTTTTTTACTTTAGGTGAGGGAACAAATAATTTTGATATTTTAGCCTAGTAGAGTGAACATTCAAAAAATTACTTAGTTCTCGCTGCCATGACACGTGATCTACTAACCCCTTCGATGTTTATAGTTCTACTAGAGTCTTGTTTTAGTGCAAATACTAAGGTGTTGGACGATAAAAGAAGCGGTATAAATGATGAAAGTATAGAGATGTGCGTATGCTTTAAATTGGCTAGATGTTAAAGACATTACAAGACAAATGAGGGCATAAGACTACACCCAATATTTCACTTGAAAGTAGATGATGAAAGTCATGAACAATAGTTGTATACCATTTTTTTTTCAAATTATTGTAAATTTTGTTTTAATTTATTTGCTTTTTTTAACAATGTAATTTTGTATTTTTGATTTGTAACTATATTGTATTTTTTATATTTTATTAATTTATTCCATTTCCCATTTTTCATATTTATTTCACCAAAGTTTCCAACCATTGTATATATGCTTAGTAATTTGTATCATTCAAATTTAAATGAAATAAAATTCATATTTTTCTTCCAATTTGTTATTCCATTCTTATTTGGTGAAGTATTTTTTTTCATTTATTTGTTAGACTTCTCATTTTTTATATTTTCAAATAGTTTCCAAAGCCCAAAGGAAAGTTAAATATTTTAGTTTTGCACATTTACTTAACAAAGAAATACAAAAAAACAAAAAAAGGTAAAAAGCTAGTCTAGCCTGATTCGGTCCACGCCCAAGGCTCGACATGACCCAGGTCCACGGCACCGCTTGCAGCTCGGCCCAGCCTAGGCCTACGGCATGGCACGACATAACACGAGCCTGCACAGGCTTGGGTCATGGGCCGTGCCATGCCAGCCCGACCTGACCCGTTTTACACCTCTAGATATGACTTGATTTGATTCAATAAATATCCAAACTGATTATATATTGTTATTTTAAGTAATTAACATATAAATAATTTATATATAATATTTATACAAATAATTTATATATTATTTTAAGAACATAAAATAATTAATCGCCAACCCTTGTGGAATAAAAATCGATTCGAATTAGGGGTGGATTCAAGCCGAGCTGAGCTGAATAACTAGCTATTTGAGCTAAGCTCACCAAAGTAGTACAAGGCTCGAGCTTGGCTCGACTTGAGAAAAATGTTTTATAAAAATAAAAAATTATATTTAAAAAATATTTTTTATTTGATATTTAAAAAATTAAGAATTATAATAATTAATTATTATTATATATAAAAATAAAAATATTATATATATTATTTTAATAATAATAATAATAATTAATTATTATTATAATATTAAGAATAATAATAATATTAGTAATAAAAAAATAAGAATTATAATTAATTATTAAGAATTATAATATTATTATATTAATAATAATAATAATTAATTATTATTATTATTATATGTATGTATGTAGTTATTTGAATCGGTTTGTGAGCCTCACCAGCCGAACCTTATTAAATTTGAACTCAATTCTATTAATAAATAAGCCTGTAAATTAAACTCGAACTTGGTTTTAAGTTCGGTTGAAACTGAATCGAGCCGGACTCGAATAAAGAGCTAGATCGTGGCCACCCCTAATTCGAATATTAGATTCTACCCAAAAAAGAATCGATATGAGATTGTTCAATTGAATCAAAATTTTTTCAATAGTCGTCACATCAAATTGAATTCGGATCGAGTTTCGAATTCGAATTCAAAACTTGTTTGATTCGATTAAAATTCGCCGTTTATACCCAATTACCCAGCGGAGTTATTAACCGTTACATTAGTCGAAATGTGTCACCCGCGACCAGGCACCACCATCTCTCTCTAGCTTGAGCATTATCGTACTGAGCTTCCGCCCCTCAGTCCCCGTTCTATGCTTATATAAACCGGCTCGAACCAGTTTCGCCGGTAGACCCAAATCCGAATTTTTTCTTCCCAGTTCCTGCACGCACAGAAACAAATACAAGAGAGAGAGAGAGAGAGAGACAGACAGACAGACAGAAAAAGAGACCGCTTTTTTTCCCTCTCATTTCCACCATTTTGTCTCTACGATCCAATCTTCCAATCAAGGAAGACGAAGACACTGAACAAGAGAAAGCCCTAAATTGAGCCCTAATTCAAAGAGGCTTCGGGTTTCGATCTACAGATCTGTGCCGAATTATCTCTACCAAGGAGGTGCGGATTGTAGGATCTTGGTTTTCTCTGTAACTCACGCCATGGCGTGTATAAAGAGCGTTAACAGATCGGCTTCCGTCGCCTTCTCGCCGGAGTCGCCTTACCTCGCGGCGGGGACCATGGCCGGGGCGGTAGATCTATCGTTTAGTTCGTCTGCGAATCTCGAGATATTCAAGCTTGATTTCCAGTCGGACGATCAGGAGCTCCCGCTCGTCGGTGAGTGCCCGAGCAGCGAACGGTTTAATAGGCTTTCATGGAGTAAGGCTGGATCCGGAACCGAGGAATTTGCCCTCGGGCTTGTTGCCGGAGGCCTCGTCGATGGGCATATCAGCATTTGGAATCCTCTCATTCTAATGCGGTATTTGTTTCTTTCTTGCATTCGTTGAATTCAATTCGATTGGTTTTATTTACCTGAATATTTTGTATTTTCTCCACCAAGTCGGATTGTACACTTGCTATTTGTTATATCATCTGCTTCGAGGATCGAGTAGAATTGGTAATTCACAGAGAGCTTATGATCTCTCCGTAGATGTCTGGTTATGCGTCAAATTAGAACAAGATGCAATTTTTATTTATTTTTTGATCAATAAGATGAGATTTTTATTGGTTGTCATCTGTATGCTATCAGGGTTCTCTTTTGGTGGTTTCCTTGACAAATTGAAATCTCTTAAGTGATAAGATCATAGAAATCTAATATTCTACTGTCATTTTCATTACTTACTATAATTGCTACCTTCCCCCTTTCATTATTTTGATATTGTTTTTATTCTACTTTTGTCCTCTTGGGAGCATACTCTGGTCACATGACATTTTAAACTGACCAATTAGATGAAATAATTGGAAACTGAAGCTGCACTATTGACAAATAACGGGGAATTGGTGTTGTTGGAGGGCACATTGGACATAATCATTTGGGAAAAGTATATTTCAAACCCCCTAAAAACGGAACCCATTAGGAAACACTGTAGAAACCTACTTTTTTTCATTGAATTGTAGCTTTAGTTGCATGTTGGCAAGTTGGATAAGCCCATCTTGGACGAACATATGAACTTTCTTTTAATAAGAAGATAAAATTTTCTGATAGCGAAACAATGGTTTCTGTTTCCATAAATTATGCATTGTCTGTAAACTATCAGAAGCAGATTTTTGGGGTGTAGGACTGCACGGGCAGTGATTGCAAAATCCCTGTGTACAGAAGCTTGTAGTACATGTTTTTTCACATCATTTATATTGTACTTTACCTTGTCTCAAAAAAAACATCAGAAGCAGATGTGCAGTTTAGTTAGACTTATGATGATTTGATTTCTTTGCAGCCAAGATGAAATTGAAGGGGCTCTTGTTAGTCGTCTTAATAAGCACACAGGATCTGTAAGTTTCCTTATTGTTTGTGCTTTTTCTTCACCCTGATTGTATAGTTTCTTTCCTCTCTTAGAAATTTGATGATGATATTTTCTGTGGAACAACCGATGTTGTAATGAAATATTATGTAAGCACAGGTTCTTGGTTTGGAGTTCAACAGTATCACACCAAATCTACTTGCTTCTGGGGCTGATGGGGGTGAAATCTCCATTTGGGATTTGACAAAACCAGTAGAACCCATTCATTTCCCATCTCTCAAGGTATGTAGAGTTCCTTGGCTCTAAATGTAAGTGAAACTTCATCATGGTCCTTTTTTTGATAAGTAATAAAGTGATTTATTAACAATAATTAATATGGACCAACATAAGGTACATGATAGAGTTCTCACGGAGAGGCCTCTGAAACAAAGCAAAGTTACAACTGAGCCCAGAATAATTGATCCCTATGCACCCCTTGCTTGGCTAAAAGGTCTGCCATCACATTAGCTGATCTCCTTTCCCACTGAACTCTAACTGTTAAATTGGAGGCTAGCCACTTAAATCTTCTCATTGTCCTCATATATCACCACACTACAGTCTCTGGCTCTTTCAGCCACTTAAGTCTTCTCATAGCCACCTTATATGACCAATTTCATGAAGTTGAAATCTTTTTCCAGCTGTGCTTTTTAAACTGCTTGGACCTTTGCATTGACAGCATCCCCCACTCTGATTGGGCCAGAAAACAAGGTGACAACCTGACCCTCTGTATTCCTAAACACACCTCCAATACCAGAAGGCCTGGGATTGCCGGGGGCCCGGGGCAGATACCATCAAAGTTTAGCTTGATAAAGCCTTCTTCAGGGGCCTTCCAAGCAAAACCTATTTGTTCTTAACAGAAGAGGAATTTGCAATCACTTCCCAGTTTCTCCACAAGTCAGCTGAAGAGAATTGTTAAAAAAGGTCCGATACTTTAGCCCAATTAATAGCCCTGTTTAGCAAGAAATCCCAAACAGAATCCTCATCCCTCTCTTTATCATTGAAAGTTCTGTTGTTTCTTTCCTCCCAAACTGTCCATAGCAAAGCAGTCCTTTCAAATGCTTAAAATATAAAATGGCTACTTTTTTCCAGGTGTTTCAATTTGTGAGTTGTTAATGTTGAGTTTAATTATCTAAATATATCCAGATATGATTAATATATATTTGAAGTTGTGCTGGAACTTAAGCTGTTTTTTGTCCTATTTCCTTCCTGTGGCTGTATTACTGCTTACAAGTACAATTGGACAGGGTCCAGAACATACTCAAAATTGTTTGTAAACTGGCCTATATCTTCAGTGATATCCCACTTTGGAGTCTCACAATTTCTTGGTGCTTTAGTCATAAATTGATATGCATCATTTTTTATTTTTTGAGAAAGTAACAGGAACTCAATAAAGAAATAGCTGGTACAGGAGAACTATCAAAAAAAAAAAAAAAATTGGCACATGTGATGGTGTACAAGGGAAGTAACAATTTTTGTATTTTACTTTATCTTTTACATTGTAAAGGAGGATTTTGCTATGTTGGTGGTAGGCACAAAGCTTTCACAAGACCTTTATGATCACAAATCCTGAATAGTATTTCAACATAAAGTGGAACTTTGAAACTTGAAACAGGACTCATGTGGCTGATCCCAATAGTTAGGGATTGGGATAAGGCTATGTTTAGTTGACTTGAGTTTCCACTATGCAATCCTGTTTCTTTTGAGATATTTGCAGCATTTAATCTGTGAAAACTTTTTCAGGGTGTTGGTTCTGGTGCTCAAAGTGATGTTTCTTTCTTATCATGGAATGACAAGGTTCAGCATATACTTGCATCCACTTCACATAATGGGACGACAGGTGGACAATGAATATATATTTATTTTTCCAGAATATTTTAAAAACCTATTTAGAATTTGCACATTGTTTATCTGAGAGTGAATGTTTTTCTACCATTTTCAGTGGTGTGGGACTTAAGGCGGCAGAAGCCAGTTATAACGTAAGTTGTTTATGCTTGATGTAAGATGTTCTATGCACTTTTTTGGTAATGAATCTTCATGGTGAGTTGTGTATTTAGACATGGATTTTCTGTTTCTGACAGTTTGTCAGATTCAAGTAGAAGGCGAAGCTCTGTTTTACAATGGAATCCTGATATTGCAACTCAGCTTGTTGTTGCATCTGATGATGACAGTTCACCTTCTCTAAGGGTACAAATATATGTCTTATTATTTAGGATTTTGGTCCTATTATCATAGTCTTATCTTATAAATATTATCGATTTTAGTCTAAGTAATCTTTTTATGATATTTATAACAGTTGTGGGATATGAGGAACCCAATATCACCATCAAAAGAATTTGTTGGGCACACTCGTGGTATGCTATCTAACATGATAATGCTTCATTTCTCCTTTTGTTAAATGCTAGTATGGTGGGCATGATTTACAAGTTAGACTGTTTATAATAATACGGCTGTTGCTATGTTTTGATAACTTTATTTTGTGATTGGGAATCCTTGGTGTGTCTCCTTGGGTTTTAGAAAATTAGGGTACTAATTGTAATTATTTGATGGTTGAATTTTGCTTTAATTTCTTTAGTTCATTATACATTGTTTTTTTCTTAATTTGTTGATGTTATATTTGTTTTCTTGCCTTTTCTTTTTCTTTTTTGGATTTTATTTCCATCACTTGATTTTTTTTGGGAATATGTAAGTTAGGATTTTTTGATCAAATGGCCATAATAAAAGATAAATGAATTGCCATCAAAGAGCCAAAGCCTATTCCAGAATTTATCCCCTCACCCCCCCACCACCCAAAAAAAAAAAGAAAAAATCCACACCTTTCAGATATCAGCTAGAGATGCAGCTGAAAAATAACCCGATGCCAAAAGCATAGAATATACTCCCTTTTTTTGTTTGAAATCTCTTTGAGAGAGAAGTGGCAATATAGAAGATTTATTAGATAGGACAATTTATTATTTGGAAAGATAGTGACAACAAAGGGCAGCTTTAACACAAATATCAATTCAGAATCCCTATACATATATTCCCCCAAACTATCATCATTGTAGGAGTGTTACCAATATTGTTAGCCTATTATAAGATACATGAGAAAGGGAAAGAGATGTTCATGGGGGAAGCAGGAGAGAACTTTCTTACAAGTTTGGGGAGAGGGGATGGAGTTTTAGAACATATTAAGGGTGTAGGCGGGTGAAAGATGTTTAGTAGGAATTGGAGAAATGAAGCAATTAGAGATTGGTAGAGATTTAGAAGTTGGAGTTTTGTTTTGGGTGGGTTGGGTTTTCTGGGTGATGTTTGTGTTGGAATGGTGAGTGATGGTCTGTAATGTGGTAGGAAGAGGAGTGTAATGATCATTTGTTTGTTTTTACACATGGTTATTGTTATCTTGAGTTGTGTAGTAGTACTGAATGGTTGTGGTAGGGGGTTCTTCTTTTGATTCAGTTTCTCTCAGTGAACAAGTTTTCTCTCAGTTAAGGTGTGGACTACACTTTTAAACTTTATCCTGCTATTATTCTTGACAGCCTTCACTTGAACAAGTTTTCTATTTATGTGCTACATCTTTACATTCTGTGTTATGCATCTATTGCATATTTTCCCTGTCTTATTATTTAGGTTTTCTTGCTATCATTGCAGAACTAGTCTCTTCTCTTTCTTAGATGTTAATAATACCACATAGACTTTTGCTCAACATAAAAAGTTGGATTGATTTTATTTTGATGTATAGCTTTAATTTTATTAATTCCGTTAAAAAAAGATGGTACTTACATAGGAGTGTGTCTGAAAGAGCCCCTTGATCTGGCCTAGTACCCCTAACCACCCAAATAAAACACGTTATACAAGTTCTTCATTGGACCTGAGCCCCGAAAAGCTTGTTCTCTATTAATCCCCTGCTTTGCTAGCCCATCCACAAAAAAAGTTGTATTGTTTGGTATTGGCTGTTTCATCTTTGGTTCTCTTTATTGGCTGTGCCAGGTGTGATAGCAATGTCATGGTGTCCTAGTGACAGTTTGTACTTGCTTACTTGTGCTAAAGATAATCGGACCATTTGCTGGGACACAGTTACAGGAGAGGTAGGGAAATATTTTAGTCAGCATAAGTAGATTTTTATTTTTACAGTCCTATTGGGCTTATTTTGATTTCAATCTCCTCTTTCATAATATGATTGGGATGTGTGGTTTTCCCACAATATTTCTTATTTTGCAGTGCTTCTTTCTGTTCTCAATTTATGCAGATTGTGTCTGAATTGCCAGCAGGCACCAACTGGAATTTCGATGTCCACTGGTATCCTAAGATACCAGGAATAATATCAACCTCATCCTTTGATGGAAAAATTGGTATCTATAATGTTGAGGTATTGTGTTTTTCTTTTTTTGTTATTGTTTTTGTAACTGACATCCTTGTAGAAGATTCTTCTTTGTATGGTTTTCATAGGCTGTCTTGGTGCAGCGTGACTGGTCTACTTGGTCTTCAATGATTCTTGTTTCCATATTGGAAAATGGGTTTTCTAATCTTTAGGGGCAGTTCTCAACTGTTTTAAGTAAAATTATACTGGCAAATGAAGAATAGTTTTTCAAACATTTTGCCTATTTGGAGAGAGAAAAAATTTTGGTTCCATATACTTATTTCTTACATTTTGGCCATTGACCCCCAAGTTAGGATCTCTGTCATGCATGACCAACTTAAACCTCCATCTTATATGCCCTTTCTCTAACGTAATTCTTGCTTCTTTGTTTTGGTGCATTTTATTAGTTATGTTGCCTTCAACTGAAAACTAGTATTCCTCTGGTTTTCTGAGGGTTGTTTCTTGCAAGCATCCTTGATTATAATCATTATTTCATGCTCATACTTCTTGATCTTGGTGCAGGCCTGCAGCAAATTGGCTGTTGGTGAAGGTGCTTTTGGCGCAGGTAATGTATTTTCCATCTGATAATGACCATGATTTCTAGTTATTGTACCAATTTTGCATCATTGTGACTAAATTGTCTTTCATGCAACCTAAGTGCTACCGTCCTTGTTTTGTTTGTCTTGCCAATGGTATGTAATTTCGATATTGATGAACATTTCATCATGCAGAGTTGGAGAAATTTTGCTAATTTTCATTAAGATATTTGGAAAATCTAAAAAATCAGTAAAGTTTTCCAAAAACATGGAATTAGTAAATAAACCATCAAGAGATCATTAGAAGAAATATAATTGCACATTTAAGGCTCAAAAAACCATAGTAAATAATTGTATAAATCAAATAGGAAAAAAAATTAAGAGACTATAATAGGTATTTTATCTTTGTCTCCCTTTTGGTCTTTAGCCATATTCTTTTCTTTATATATGTTAATTACTTGCCATTTTAAGTTTTGTCTTTATTGTTACTATATGTTTTGATTAGATTGAGAATACTTTTTTGTAATTATATGCATTTTTCTTTTTCTTTTGTATTATGGTGACTTAGTAAATGAAGCATATCAAAGTAGTAAGCCAATTATCCAATTACCAATTTTCTACTAGATCTTTTGAGAAGTTTCTAATAATATTCTAAAATTGTAAACTTTAAATATATAGTCTACAATGAAATCTGAAATATTGCCAACTATCGGCAAAATATCAGGGACATTTGAAAAAAAGATTCCTAGAAGATCTTGTATCACCACCTAGCAAATGGGGAAATTTCGCCAAATATTGTTGATATTGTGAGCCATCTCCTGCCATACTACAGATTTTTGTGAACCCTATTCTTATCATGTGAATTACCTTATTGTTGGAATCTTTGACCCTGTGAATAATGTCTTTATTATCTCTTCTTCCTCACCACATATGCCTGAGGTGAACTTCTTTGAGGTTAATTAATCCTTTTGGGTATCTTCTGGAGTTTTGCAGAGACAGTAAATGAATCAGAAGACTAGAAAAATGTAGATTTAGCAATAGAAATCTTATCTCTCAAGAGAAATCCTTTTTCCCCTTAGTGCTTGTCTCCTTCAAAGTTTTGCACCATTAGTCAAATCCAACATTACAGCAAGGTCAAGAATGAAGATAAACACACAATCAGACAGCCACTAAGAGAAATTGTGAGCAAATGAAATGGATGATGCTTTAGMTAAGCAAGGAGTTAATAGGGAGGCTTTGTTTTGGGCTTGTTTGTAAGGCTAATATTGTTTTGGCTTCTCCAACCATCCTTTGGGTGGTGATATTTGTACTCTTTATTTAACTCCACTTCATCACTGAAAGCTACCGTTTCCTATAAAAAAAAAAAAAAAGATTAACACAATCAGATTCTTTTCCTCATATGACTGTTATTTATCTCCTCATATGTCAGTTTCCTGATCCACCTTCCAATTGTTTTCCTTCCTCTCTCCTTCCTGTATTTGAAGAAGACTTTTCTTCACAATAGAAAATATATTTTTTTGATGTTTTATAAGTTCTAAAATCTCCTTTGGCAAAAATCATGGATTTAGATTTATACAGAACTGAAAAAAATGGTGAAATGTGAACCTCTTTTTTAGGTTCTGACGTTCTGTTGCATAATGCTTTCATGAATCTATGTTGCACATAAATACACAAATAATTCTGAGGTTAGGAAGAATTGTCTGTTTATACAAAACCATTAAGTGGTAAAAATTCGCTTATTACTTACTATGAGATATACTGAACTCTTATACCTGTGAAGTATGCTAGAATCTCTTATTGCAAAACTTGAATGCATTATCTATACTGTGGTTGACATCTGGTGCCTCATGCAGTTATGCTTATTTCCTGATTTCTTTTTTTTTGTATTGCTAAATATAAAAAGTTCAAAATCTTGATACGCTTTTTCACTGTTTTTATTTTCTGGATTTTCCTCTTATGGGCTATATGCCCTGTGTTCCTTTCTTTCTTTCTTTCTTTCTGTATGCATTCCTAGTTTCCACTTTTTTTATTTTCCTGTGGCATGACTGTTGATTTGCGTCATGGCTGAGTTTTTTGGCAGCACTGTAATAGTGGACTAGGTTGTGGGGTTCAGTGCTCCTTTTTGGGGTGCTTGTTAGTATATTTATTAATTAATGAATGAAAGTTACTGTTTCCAATAAAAATTCTTTATATGCTTTATTTGTATTCTCTCTGCAGCGCATTTGAGAGCTCCTAAGTGGTTGAAACGTCCAGTTGGGGCCTCTTTTGGTTTTGGAGGGAAGTTTGTTTCATTTCACCTGGGTCCATCAAGTACAGGTGTCCAAACCGGAAATTCTCAGGTAGCTTATCCCTCTAATTGGTTGTCCTGCTTCTATTGTCTGCCTTCAATACTGATAACCGGAAATTCTCAGCACATTTCCTTTGTTTTTAACTCAGGTTTATGTGCATAATTTGGTCACTGAACGAAGCTTGGTGAGCCGCTCTACTGAATTTGAAGCTGCTATTCAAAATGGAGAAAAATCTTCTTTAAGAACTTTATGTGAGAAGAAATCTCAGGAGTCTGAGTAGGTTATCCGTATAAATAAATTCAGTATAAAGTGCTTCTATTCTCTACATTACAAGCATCATTTGACTCAATAATTTCTGTTTGTCAATGCTTTTGTACCATGTATTGTCTGGAGAAGATCTGAGGATGATAGAGAAACATGGGGCTTATTGAAGGTCATGTTTGAGGAGGAAGGGACAGCAAGGACGAAGCTACTCACTCACCTTGGATTCAGCATACACACCGAAGGAAATGATAATGTACAGGATGAGCTTTCCCAGCAAATAAATGCTGTGAGTCTTGATGAGAAGTCAACAAATAAAACTGGACTAGATGGAGACAATGATGTTGGTATATTCTCTATGGATAATGCTGAAGACTTCTTTAACAATCTTCAAAGCCCCAAGACAGATCCATCTCAATCACCTTCTGGTAAGAACTTTGTAGTTGAAGGTAGTGCAGTGCCTAATGGGGAGCAACTGCAAGAAGATTTTGATGGAGTGGTAGCGGACATTGACCCTTCAGTTGAAGATGGTATTCAGCGTGCTTTGGTTGTCGGAGATTACAAGGAAGCAGTTACCCTGTGTATATCAGCAAATAGAATGGCTGATGCTTTAGTTATTGCTCATGTGGGTAGTCCTTCTCTGTGGGAGAGCACACGTGATCAATACCTGAAAAGGAGCCATTCCTCTTACTTGAAGGTAGTTAACATCTCAATTCTTTCCTGGTGAATTAATGGCATGGATGTAGTATTAGAACATACAATTTGTTAATGGTAATGAATTCACGCCCATTTTCATGGAATCCTTATTACATGAAAAATTTTTATATGTTCAGATTGTTGCTGCAATGGTGAACAATGATCTTGCAACTCTTGTAAACACCCGACCCTTGAGCTCCTGGAAAGAAACACTTGCCTTGCTTTGCACTGTAAGTTGTTGAAATACATAAAAGGAAAAGTAGAGCTAAGTAGTGTTTTATTTTTTTGGCTTTCATTTGTATGTCCAATCCTTTGTCAGTGATTGTATAGTTTTTCTAGGCAACTCATTGAACTCTGAATACTGCATTGGACTGTGTGGCAACTGCATACTGCTTTGATGTTGATTATTTGAAATCTAAGGGGAATGATTTTGGCACATCCCATTTTTGATAAAACAAGAAGCTTCTAATTCTTAATCTAAAGTATATGTTCTGAAAGACAAAAGCACCCCAATTTATTTAATTCTATGTTTACAAGACAAGGATATCTTATGTCTTTTAACTGGGATGTACTTTCTGCGACACACACACACACAAACAAACAAACAAAACTGGGATGTGCTCTAATCAGCATCCTTTTCTATTCTCAAAACTCTGTATTTGGTGGCAGTGATCAGGGGCCAAACCAGGCTTAGCACTTGTGACAAGGGTTATATCTTGGGCCCAGGTCTGAAATATAAGACTGAGCCCAGGTCTGTATGTGCCTGGGCCAGGCTGGGCCGGTCTTTGGGTCTAAGTTGTTAAATACATTAGATTTAATGCATATCTACACTAGAGGATGGCTCCCATAGTTCCATAAAGTATGGGGCAACTACACCTATGCATCATTTTGTGTTTGAGACCCCACATTGGTGGGAGCCTCATGCACTGGGCTGCCCTTTATTAAAAAAAAATAAAATCAGGTTTAATTTGTAATTGACAACCTATTTCATTTAAAAGAATGGGACCAACACCATCGAAAGTTTTATAATGTCTTTTATTTGAATTAGGAAATTGAAGAAACACATTAATATGGGTCCAACATCTATTGTTGTGAGTATTTTTTGATAGATAGCCACATGTCTGATGAAGTTGGCACTTTTTTTTTGTGAAAATGGAATTAACTACTCTCACTTTTTTTTTAGAGTGGGTAGACACATGTCTGAAGAAGAAAGCTTAAATTTGAGAGTGGTAGACTTTTGTTTGAGAGAGGGAGCAATCCACTTCTTAGATGCTCTTTCCTGAGAAAATATAATTCCACTTCTGTCCTAATCGCTAGTTTGAACAGAAAGAAGACAATTTCAGGGGTGTTGAATGAATTAGTTAACCCCACCCTTAAAAGGCCTCTAATATATTAAAGATCATATACTATGTAAAATTATAAAAGCGCCTTTACAGGGATGAAAGAAATAAGCCAAATAAAACATATGTACAATATACAACAAGGGCTACCCTAGTAGGATATGTCAAGTTTCTTTCACACTCCCCCTCAAATTGATGCGTGGACATAAGCATTAGTTTGCCCACAAGGAAAAGATGTCGGGATCTAGTCATAGCCTTAGTGAAGATGTCAGCAATCTGCATGTTGGAGGCTACATGAGGAAGAGAAATAGACCTAGCAAGAAACATGTCTTTGATAAAATGACAATCCACCTCCATATGTTTAGTCCCCTCATGAAACAAAAGATTTGATGCAATCTTGATAGAACTAGTATTATCCACATAAAGAGGAGTGGGTGTAGGAATATGAACACCAAGATCCATAAATAGTGATTGGAGCCAGACTATCGCGTTGCACACAAAAGACAACACCCTATATTCTGCTTCAGTGGAAGAGCTGCAGATGGTCTATTGTTTCTTGCATTTCCAAGGGATAAGAGAATCACCCATAAACGCACACCACCCGGTAGTAGAATGACAGGTGTCTGGGCAACCAGCCTAATTAGCATCTGCATATGCTCTCAACTATATGGGTGAAGAGGAGACCTTGACTAATTGTATCACGAACATAACGGATGACCCGATGAACCACAATCAAATGAGGCTGGCGAGGAGCATAAAGAAACTGACTTATAACTTGAACAACTTAAGAGGCAAGAAAGAAGTTTGGGTACATGGTCTTTCAGGCAACCACTAAGGGAAACTTTGAACTTAGCAAGGGAGTTATGGGTGTAGTTTAAATGGGCAAGAAGATAGAAAATGGAATGGGTGATGCTTTAACTAAGCAAGGAGTAAATAGGAAGGCTTTATTTTGGGCTTGCTTGTAGGATTGTTAGTTATTGGTCTCTCTAGCCATCCCTCGGGTGGAGACAGATGTACTTTTTAATCTCATCAATGAAAGTTACCGTTTCCTATCAAATAGAAAAAAACTTGAACAACATGAGTGATATTGGGTCATGTCATAGTAAGATAATAAGGGATCCCACAAGCTACTGATATAGATATGGAGTGGCATTGTAATGAGCCTTTTGATTTGGACAACTTGATACTCAGCTCTAAAGGGCTATCACAATGTTTTAAAAGCGCAAGGTGCAAAAAAAGCTCAATGGCCAATTTGTGCTTGAGGCACAAGGCGAGGCGTGCGCCTTTTTGAAGCAAGTCGCAAAATTACAAAAAAAAATGCTAAAAAATAAAAATGTAAAAAAAATAAAAAAAGCCAAAAAATTAAAAAAATGCAAAAAATTTAAAAACAATTAAACATAATGTTAATAAAAATATAAACTTAATTTTAAAATAAATGTTTTAAAAACCTATTATCTAAAATTAAAATACATAAAGATAACATGTAAATCGTATTAAAAAAACATGTCAAGCATATTCAAATGAAAATTTAAAAGTAAAAGCAAACATATAAAGCATTTTCTAGCATGCAAAACCCACAAGCTCTTTTTTTCCTCAATTGCATTACTTCAAGTAGCTATTGTGATGTAAAACATATTGCATTCTTGATTCTATGAGTTGCCTTTGTATCACACCGCTTGAGGCAAGCCCGAACAAGTCCAAATGTTAGGGTCTTAAATTCTTATTTCTCACATAAAAAAATAATGATTTTATAACTTTAATTGCCTTTTAAGAAGATATTTTATTGGAATGAATGAATGAACAACATTAGCAAATAGGGGGTTCTCGGATAAAATATCTTCTTAAAAGGCAATTAAAGTTATAAAATCATTATTTTTTATGTGAGAAATAAGAATTTAAGACCCTAACATGGACTTGTTCGGGCTTGCCTTGAGGGGCATGGGAGGGGGCGGAGCCCCCCACCCAACCATTAGGCTAAAAAAAAGCAAAAAGCGCAAAATTTTAAAATGGTGCATGCCTAAGCTAAGGCGCAAGGTGCATCAGGCGCACGCCTAGGGCCTTTTGAAAGGGGTGTGCCTAGGACCTGGGCGAAGTGCATACCCTAAAATGCGCCTTGCCTGTGCGCCTAGGTGCGCCTTTTAAATCACTGGGCTATCAACATGCTTATCATCTGCAATGTTAGCTAGTTTGACAATATTAGTGGCATATTTTTGCTGACAGATGACATCATCAATCACTGCGTCGAACCTCAAGACCCAACAAGTAAGTGAGAGGACCTAAGTCCATGTAAAAGGAATTATGAAGAAGGGATTTTAGCTCACAAATTCCTTCATTCATTTCCGGTCAGCAACATATCATCAACATATAATAAGAAGATAGTAATACCCTAAAGTCTCCTATGAACAAAAAGATAGTGATTAGAAGGGCTCCAGAGCAACCCAGGAAAACTCATACTGAACAGAACAGTCTCCAGAGCTCTTCTAAACAGATCAAAACAGTCGATCTACCAACCTTGGATCTTCCTTCAAATCCCCAACAACAGATTCAATCAAAGATAGGTTTGTAGGACCTGCTCTGATACCATGTCAATCCCTAGTTTGAACAGAAAAAACAGTTTCAGGGGTGTTGAATGAATCAGTCGACCACACCCCCAAAAGGCCTCTAATATATTAAAAATCATATATTATGTACAATTACAAAAGTGCCCTTACGTATCTGAAAGAAATAAAGCCAAATAAACCATATGCACAATATACAAGGGCTACCCTAATAGGATATTTCAAGTCTCTTGACAGTCTTTACTCTGATACCATGTCAATCCCTAGTTTGAACAGAAAGAACAGTTCCAGGGGTGTTGAATGAATCAGTCAACCACACCCCCAAAAGGCCTCTAATATATTAAAAGTCATATATTATGTACAATTACAAAAGTGCCCTTAGATGGATGAAAGAAATAAAGCCAAATAAAACATATGTACAATATACAAGGGCTACCCTAATAGGATATGTCAAGTCTCTTCACAGGCTGAACTCTGGTTAATATAGTATATTTTGACATATAATATATGCATAAAACATATGTTATAATTTATACAAATATATAATTATTATGTATAATAAATTAATTGACACACATGCAAGGTGCCAAGCAGCTGGTTGGTAAGGTCTCCTGCTGGTTGTAGTAGAGACTTGGGATCAAATCCCGCCTGCACCTGGGTTGGGGGATGGGCTACTCCCCGTTGTGTAGCCCTTCAGAACATATCATTATCATATATACATATATAAACTATGTGTGTTGGGTGTGTTATTTCCAGGCCGGACTGGGTTAAAAAAGATCACCTCTATTTTTGTATACTTCTTTTGGTTTTCTGATAACACTGAGCTATCGGTGAGGGGGATAGGACCTTTCTTTGGGGTAAGGTGAAAAGGAACCCCGTGCTAATCGAGTATCAACCACACTCCTTTGCTTTGAGCATATTACCAATACTATTTTGAGTGTTCCTCCTCTTAAATGATAAAACTGCTTTCATATATCCATACTAGTTTTAAAAAAGCAAATACCAACTTTTATATTATTGTCATTATTGTACATGTAATTGTGCTGCAAATTACATTGATACTTACATGACTTACAAGAATTTCTTATTTCATCTGGCTGTCATTATTTAACAGTTTGCACAGAGGGAGGAATGGACGCTGCTCTGTGATACACTTGCTTCAAGACTCATGCTTGTGGGGAACACTTTAGCTGCAACTCTTTGCTATATTTGTGCTGGGAATATTGACAAAACGGTGGAAATATGGTCTCAGAATCTGAGGGCTGAGCATGAAGGGAAAGCCCATGTTGACCTTCTCCAGGTGGATATTCTTTTGTCAGGTCTCTAGAAACACTTTCTGATCCAACTTCAGATTGACAGTTTATCCTCTTTTTTTGTTGGTAGGACTTAATGGAAAAGACTATTGTCCTTGCTTTAGCAACTGGGCAAAAGCAATTTAGTGCATCTCTGTCCAAACTTGTTGAGAACTATGCTGAACTGTTAGCAAGCCAAGGGCTTCTAAAAACAGCAATGGAATACTTAAAGCTTTTGGGGTCTGAAGCATCATCCTTCGAGCTAGCTATCTTACGAGACCGCATTGCTCTCTCTGTGGAAGGTAAAACTTTCTTTTTGTTATTCTGCTGTGTACAATATTAAGAAGCATTGGTTAAATTATTCCTATATTCTGCAACAATTGCTTTGAAGGTAGAAGGAAAGGACAATCAACTTGTTCAAAAAGAGGTCTTAATTTTACTTCATTCTTATAATTAAATGTTCTGATATAACATGAACAAATAGATCATGTTTGCAAGCACATAACATTTTTAGGGAAAACCCCATAATTTTCACTTGGTTTGAACATATTTACTCTCCTCTACAGTCCAGAAATTGCTAAATGCCCAATTAACTATTTTCTAATCTTAACTTGAATTCCTACGTAAGGCTACCTTGAAAGCTACTTAAACAAACCAATTCTTATCTACAAGTAACCAGCTCAAATTCTTATCTACTCAAATGTCGTTGCTTTGTTTTCGGGCCCAGTGGGTGTGGGGGACTTGATCAGGGCTGAATTTCTTGCAGTAATTCAAGGGATATAGATAAAGAAAGATATGAACATGGACAACCTGATTGTTGAGGGGGGATTCCAAGATAGTAGTGGGATGGTTAAAGAAACCTGAATCTGTAATTTGGACTTATAGAGATGAAACAAAGAAGTTTAAATGGCTAACTGGCAGCATGACTTTGAGGATACAATGGCTTAGAAGATCATCTAGTGGAATGGTGGGTGCTTTAGCCAAGCAAGGGGTTAATTGGGATCAATTTGATGTTTGGTCTTTATGAGTTAATTATGTGAGAGGTTGCATCTCATTCCTCTCTTTGGGTTATTTATTTGTACTGCTTGTATATATTGATGCTTTTCTAATAAACTTTCAATTTACCTAAAAAATGCTGGCATACCCCTTTCTTTCCTCAAATAATAAGGAAGCATGTTTTTATAGAAAGTCAACAAGGGTAAACTTCTGTTGTGAAAGCATTATGTTCCTGAGTGTAGACACATGGGAGAATAGTAGGTAAATGATAACTCTCCATTCTTATATAAATGATCAAATAATAAGCCTATAAGCTCCTTTAGAATCAAGGTCCAGAAAATGATCTTTCTCTAGAGTCTTGACTTTGCTTACACCCATAGAAAGTAGACATTTTTTACCATGAAAAATTTCTAATTGTTGAGATATTTCCATATGCATCACACCAACATATCACAAATAGAAGTTTCTTTAGGATTCTACTCTTACTGAAGTTCCTTGTTTGGCCAGGCTAATGTCTAAGATGATTTAGTTTCTTGGATAGAGTCGATCCATACTTTCCAGGAGAAGATACAATGAATCAAGAGATTTTCCACAGTTTTTGGGCCTTGTGTTGCATGGACACTCCTTATGCTCCTCGCTCCTCTTGGATTTCAAGTGCAAATGGAAAAAACGAGTAATTTCAGAGGGGTTATATGATTATGAGATCCACTTCCACGGAAACAAATTCTCAGTATTCTCCTATAAATTTGGTATAAAAGGATTTCACATGAAGCATCCATGGGTGTCAATCTTCTCTGCTCTTTTATCATCCCTGTTAGAAGAAAGGGGGGGGTGATTGAGCTGAGAATGGACATAAACAGGATTATTAACTTCCCTGTAATTTACCTTGCTGGAACTGGGGAAACCAAACCACTTCATTACCAGAGGAAACTTGAAGAGCTTATTCACTTAAATCCACAAACCCAGCAGAATGGGACCATACAACATATGTTATTTTAAAGTATCTTTGGTGTCAAAGTTGGCTATGCACCTGGAGACAATTGAGATAAGATCTAGGAATGGATTCTTTTCCCATTTGTTAATAGTTCAACCAACAAGTTTTTTCCCTTCTGTTTATTTGTCTTGTTGTCTGAAGATACCTCTTATTCAGTTCAACCAACAGTTTTTCCCCTTTTTGTTTATTTGTCTTCTTGTCTGAAAATACCTCTCATTAAGTGAATGATAAAATGACTGTTTTTGTTTTTTCATTTGTAGAGCAGTATTACTCCTACTCTGTATCTTGTTTGTCTTCTATGCTTTATCATTTTTATAAGTTGTGTCAGAAGCAATGCATTAATTTTGATGGTGCACTATATTCATTTCTTCTTGAGAAAAATATTTAGGTGATACCTGCAACTGTGAGTTGATGATCTTGCCATACCTTTATTTGCAGAGAAAGAGGTACCTCAGACAGTGCCTTATGAAAACACTCAACCACAGCCAGAGCCTATATATGGTTCTGAACAACCCAGTTTTGGCGTAGCTGGTGGATCTCAACAGTATTATCAGGTCAGCTGAAATGCAGGTAACTTGCAGCCAATAATGAGTTTTGAGCATTTTCTGATTTTTCCTTTATCTTCTTTACTAGGATAAAACACATACACAGCTGCAGCAGAACATCCCTGCTAGTACCTATGGTGAAAACTATCAACAACCTCTTGGTGCTTCATATGGAGGAGGATATGTTGCTCCTACCCCATATCAGCCTGCACAACCACCACAGATATTTCTCCCATCACAAGCACCTCAGCCACCTCAGGTATCTTCCTTTCAGAAAGTAACTAAGCATTAATACTTTCTTCTTCAGAAACACTGTAGTTGTGTTATGCTTTTTTATTTCTACATTGAGCTTCTTCATCTTAGTTTTTCAAGTATTGGTTGAATAATAACGAGTATATTAGTGACTCTCCTCCTTTGAAGAGTCTTTTTGTTTCAGTTATTCCACTGATGAAGTTACATGCACTTGAACTTCTTGACTGTATTTTGTTCCAATTGTATGGGGTTGGCTACTTGAATTTTGTTTTGCCATTACATTGTACCATGGGCCATATCCATTGATTTTGTGAGCACTGACATCATTTCTCACTACTTCAAACCAAGCACTTTCTGAGATACACCTTTAAGTTGCAAGATGTCAGTTATTTTTGTACAGGCCAATTAGGTTGTCTTCTATTCGTATGTCCAAACCATCTTAGCCTACTTTTATTTTATCATCAATTAGTCAGGCTGATTAGGCTTCCATTACATTAACATACTCATTTATATTCATTCATAAAAAAAAACATACTCATTTATATTTCTGTCATTTTTGGTGGTTTTCCAGATGCCACACTCTTTCATCTCAACTTTTGCATATCCGAGGTCCACCACAGACCACACTTATTCTTTGAATGTGTTGCTTCTTGACTACCCAATACTCTGATCCATATAATATTGCTAGCTTTGTAGTCATCTTATATAATTTTCCTGTTAGCCTGGTTTGTATTCTTTGGCTGCACGACTATCTGCATGCACCCTTCTTCTTTTCAACCCACTTGAACTCCATGCTATCAAATCAATGTATGTCATCCCCTGCAATACATGTGCTGTATAACTATAAATGCTTTACAGATATACTATTGTCTTTGTGTATGCATTGTTAATTTGTTACTGAACTACAAAATGTACTTTACCAGTCAGAGTTCCTAATTTGTTGATTCTTTTATTTTCTTCCATTGATTTTCAGGCCAACTTTTCTCCCCCTCTTGTTCCCACTCAACCTGCAGTGAGGCCCTTTGTTCCTGCAACACCTCCCGTGGTGCGAAATGTGGAACAGTATCAGCATCCCACTTTGGGTTCGCAGCTGTATCCTGTCTGTACATCTGCCATTCTTCTCAAATTCAATATTTTGGACATGTTTCTCAACTAGAAAGATCTGGTGTACTGATTTCCTTGTCATATTAATTGCAGGGAACTGGTAGCCCTACTTATCAGCATGGCCCACCTGTTACTGGTTCACTTGGATCCTTTCCAGCTCAACTAGGTTCAGTTCCTAGTAATAAATTACCTCAAGTTGTTGCACCTACACCTACACCGAGTGGATTTATGCCAGTGAGCAGTTCAGGGTTTGTACAAAAACCTATGACGACAGCAATGCAACCAACAAGTCCCACTCAGCCCGCACAGGTACAATCAGCCCCTGTGCCTGCAGCACCAGCTCCTACAGTGCAGACAGTTGATACATCAAATGTACCTGGTAAGCTAAAATCTGTTTACATCTTTGAATTTAGTGAGCATCCTGACATGACCTGCAACATTTCTGCCACCCGGATGTAAGATATGGCATTTAAGCTGGTCAAAGTTGAAATTTGTTGACAGGGTGATAGGGTAATCTCCAAGGATCCCCCTAGTTTGGGGGGTCTAGCACTTACCTCTCCCCCACCCCTCCACCCCATCCACTCCCACCCCAAATTCTATTACTTTCTTATTTCAGATAAAAGGGCAGCCCAGTGCATGAGGCTACTGCCAATGTGGGCTCTGGGGAGGGACAGATGTATACAGCCTTACCCCTGCAGCTATACAGAGAGGCTGTTTCTAAGATTTGAACCCTGGCCACCCAGGTTACAATAGAACAATCTAACCATTGTGCCAGGGCTCACCCTCAGAGTCTTTAATTGGATAGCTTAGCAAAAAGTTAAATGGCAAAGGTGCGACAAAAAAAATGAACATTTAGATTGAAGTCCCACTACCTGTTACCACCTACCTTAAAGTTTGTGTTGCGTTAAATACCAAAAAAAAGCTAAACACTAAAAAATGTGAAAAATCAATTTAGACAATTAAGACTTATGCAGAGCAGGAATAATTGTGGACTTGCAATCCATTGTACTTTATATTCGACATTATCTAGCTATTTGAATATGGGGCATCTGAAAAGCCTTACAAAATATGGAATTAAAACATTTTATACTAGCTTTTTATAGCATTTGAACCAGTGCAATGGTCCAAGAAGATAAATAAACATATAGTGAAAATATTCACTCCATAGTACTGCTAGAATTGGACAGAATATACCCAAGTTATTGTTAGATTTACTTAAATGGTTGAGATGAATTCACTGATCTTAGGAGATCACCTTGATAGAGTTAACATCTGCTGTGACAATGGTCGCAGCACTCCCTTGCGATCTCCCAATGAAACATAGGCACACCAATGATGAAAATGAAACACAGCTCATGTGATGCCATGAAACATTTCCATCATTGACTTCTCTGTGTTTCATTGAGGGGTCACAAATGTGTGCTGTGACTGGTCACGGCACATGTGCTCTCACTTTAATAGCACAACTCTTTGCGTTGATTGGTATTTGGATGGTCTAGATTAGATGAAATCTTGGCACATAATGTTGATGATTGAGATTAGTTGACTGATCTTATTCAGAGTGTCTTGCTATCTGTTCTGTCATGATGGTTAGTGTTCTCTCTCTTTTTTTTTTTACTCTTTTATGCTTGTAAATTTTGGTTTTTCGAGTGGAAACATATTGTCCTGATTTGCTGAGTGCAAAAGCATCTTACTACAAAAAGTATATTCTTTCTATGGTTCATCTTCCACAAAGGTTGTTCCTATGAAACATGCATTTATCCATTCTAACTTTTAACTTTTACATCGATTGCTGCAGCCCATCAGAAACCTGTCATTACAACATTGACAAGACTTTTCAATGAGACATCAGAAGCAATGGGAGGTTCACGTGCAAACCCAGCTAAGAAGAGGGAAATTGAAGACAACTCAAAGAAATTCGGAGCACTGTTTGCAAAGCTTAATAGTGGAGATATATCTAAAAATGCTGCTGATAGGCTTGTTCAGCTTTGCCAGGCTTTGGACAATGGGGATTACAGTACTGCTTTACAAATCCAGGTAAGTACCTTATGAATGTTTGGAAAGGTTTCCTAGAGGGTTCTCTTCCTCATTATTGAATGCCCATGTATGCAATTAGGTTCTTTTGACAACAAGTGAGTGGGATGAATGCAATTTCTGGCTCGCTGCACTTAAGCGAATGATCAAGGCAAGGCAGACTGTGAGATTAAACTAGAAGGTACAGATTCCACAAGGCATCTCGCTGCGGCTCTGCAATTTTTTTAGGCAAAACACAGGAGTGGTGTAGTTTTGGAGCACTGATCCTTCGTTTTCATGTACACAAGATTGGCCTTCTTAAATAGCAAATTGCAGGTTCTTTGTTTTCCTTTTTTCCATGTGTTATTCCTTTAGGGTCCAACTACCTTGTCCTCCAATAACTTGAGCCATTGCCCATTCAAGCTCCTTCAAAGGAAAATTAGAAAAAAGATTGTTTAGGGGGGCATTGAAGAGGCTAGTTGTCTTTTGTAGTCTTTTTTTTTTCTTTTTTTTTTTTGAATATATATTCTCTGCCCCCTCCTTGTGATTGAGCTCTATTTATTTTGGTTTGAATTTTGATTGTTCTGTTACCATTTGGGAATGTTGAGATACCTGCATACTTATCTACAAGTTTGGTTTTTCCAAATATCGTGCAGAAAGAGGGAAAGGAATCAGTTCAGTTCGTATCGTGTTCATGTGAGTTGAAAACTCTAAGCTGATTCCATATAGTTGGACTAGGATCAAGGCTTAGATGATGGTGATGATAATTATGAGTTGAATTTTGAGCTTTGCATCTACAGATATTATCAAAACTAAGGTTGATTTTGGATATTGGACGAGAAATACTAAAATTTAGAAAATGCAACGAGTAGCGTACGGTATCCTAGTGGACTTGGTCCAAGTTCTCATATGCATCTATTAAAAAAAGTTATCCAATATGCAGATATGGAAGAGTTCCCATGTCTACTTTGTTGGCATTTGGGGCGTAAAGAGCCTGAATTCTGGTTCGCTGAGAGTGAAGGAATGTTCTGAAAGTTCAGACATCATGCGATCTGATAATTGGTTCAGTTCCATTCTCATGCATCATGAGAACCAACTCACGAGCTCCAACGAGATCTGGAATCTGGATGAGGCCCAACAAGTACACCATCACAAATTAAGAAATGTTCTGTAACTGTTTGTCGTGTTGTTTAAAGTAGGCTGGGCAATGTGGTCATTAGGCTTTTGGCCTTTGGGCCCTTTTTTTCCCATCATTAAACTGCTCCTACTTTCAGTGGTATTTTACAGCAACGTTAAAAATGAATCAACGTATTGGTGTGTATCATATCATGTGACATCGACCAGGCTTTTAACCCCCTGAAACACCAAATACATCGTGGGGAATTGCTCTCTGCTCGTGCTATGCCCCTGTATTCCAACCCTGCTTTGATAACTGAAGCCATTGCTTTGTTAGAAAGCCCTGTTTTGCCGGCTCTCTTGGAATTTCTTCAGCCATAGTTGAAACTAGAAAGTGATGCAGAATTACTTATCAGACTTTTGTTGGGGGGACGGTCTGACGCTTCCTTGGAGTATTCTCACCTTTGCAGCAGATTGCAATGGTCTCCTTTGCAACTCTGGCTTCTCAGTTACTTTTACGCCAAGATGTGGTAACTATAGCCGGAGACCTTATTAACTGCAGCAGATACTTAGGTTACTATTAGGGCCTGTTCGTTTGTTGGTAAGGGGTGCATGCGTGTGTGGGGGGGGGGGGGGAGTTGACCCACTTCCTTGTGTTCTTTTGCCGGAAGTGTAAGGCCCATGGAATGTGAACTTTCCGTTTGATAATTTGGTATTTGGTGATTGTGGGAATTGAATTCGTGTCTATGCTGGAGCTAACCAGCTAACAAAGTTGGTGGTTGTGGCCTTTGTGGTTATTGAATTCGCGCCTATGCTGGAGCTAACCAGCTAACAAACCAACTGAACCACCCGTCAGTTGGCAAAAAATTGGCTAAGCCATGTGGGGCTAAAATGCCCCTACAAATACACAAAGTCAAGGGGCTTTTGGAAAATTGCCTCACTTACCCAATAAACATTTTCCTGGTAAAAGAACATAGATAAATGTATTTACCCAAATAAACAACTTCCCAGCAAAGGAATAAGGCCTTATTATAATTCTTACAAAACGGAGGGAAGTTTCAGAAATGGAAAGGTGGGTTGAGTAATTGGATTTCATTTTATTCAGGCATTTTAAGAGTTTTCCATCTCTCTTCCTCTCATCCTCATCATTAATATTTATTACAGCGGGCCATTATTCAGCTCAATTTCAATACCAATTACCAAAGCGGTAAATAAATAAATAAATAAAATTCTGATTTTGAAATACATCAACTAGATACGAATATATAGGATCTTTTCAGAAGGAATATAGTTGTCTTTTTTTTTTCTTTTTCTTTTTTGTTTTTCCCGCTCATTTTGTTGTGGTGAAGCTGCTGATTGGCAACATAGAGATTGATATCCTTCGATGATTCTTCCTTTATATGATGGTAATCAAAGAAACTGAAACCCATTATCCTACTTTATGGATGGAACTTGAAAGGATTCATGGCTGAAGTGTCGGTACAACGCTCATGACCAACTCTTTTCTAACTGATAACTCACTCGAGAATATTTGTTGCCAAGGGTTCAATGATTTGAATTTGATTTTCACCAGCCATGTGAAGTTGAGAAAGTAACGAGGCGGCCTAGGCCGTTAAAACTCATTCCTGAAACATCATTATGCTGTTCTTATTGCTGTATCTTTTTCTTTTTGGTAGGCCTCACGTCTGATGGGTTTCATGGAGTCCAGTTAAAACTCATCCACTTTTTTTTGGGTATCCCTACATTTCCCTTCCTTTTTATCATCTTGATTGGATAGAATTGCAGAATATGAATGTAAAACCTGTCTAAACAACATTCTTTCATTCTATCTGCCCAAAACAACCAAGGACACAGAAAAAAAAAAAAAAACTTACATGTTGGAAACACTAAAAAAACTGATTATAGGGTTTTGTGTTCATCTTTCTTCTTTTTGGTAAGTTGTGGATTTTTCATATTGCACTATCTGCTTCAGTGCTTCTCTAGGCCTCGGGTAAATTTGACCCATGCAGATTGATTTGTTGGCATCTCTCATGCCATAACTACTTGCAAATCCGAGAGCAATGTTTGGAATCTGGACAATCGTCTTGGGCCAGATGGTTGAACCGGTAATTGAAGGGGTCACCAGTCCTCAAAGTGTAGCCATCATTCCCGTGAAAACTGAAAACTATTGACTTAGTTGATTAATTTCATTAAAAACTGTCTAGCCCAATGATTGAATCTTTCAATTCCGAACAAATCTTTGATAAAAAATGAAAACATGGATAAGTAAAGAGTATGTAGATGATAATTAAAATGAGAGAAAGTAGATTAAGATGATTTATTCATGTGCATAGAAGACCGTCAGTGGTATCTATTAAGATAACTGATCTGTTACAATTTTAAGGCATTAAAAGAGCTAGGGGCAAACCGAAAGGACTTTGGACGGATATAATAAGAAATGATTCAAGCACTCATAATTTAATAATTAACAATGGATATGACACTGAATAGAACGGAATGACAAAATAGGATATAGTTAAGACAATATGACTTAGATGATGATGGTGATGGGCAACTAACGGAGGTGTTTACCAAAAAAAAAAACTGTAATATGAACAGAAACAACATAGTTTTGCTGATGTGGTGGATGTTTCTGTTTGAAGTTGTAATGAATGGGACTGAATTGAATATGTGATGAATGTAGTAAGTGGCCACATCATCCCTCCGTGTGATAAATAGGAAACTCCTTACTCGACCCAATTAGGAAACATTTTTTTTTCTGTTTTGTAGATGTCATCATGAAGTCATGCTGATGTCAAGGTTAAATAATAGTAGAACCACTCGGACCAGACACTGCCAGCCTCAGCAGTTCAATAGAGTAGGGGCCCAGCTCTCAAAGCATTGCTTTAGAGCATATTTGTACTATAAAAGCCTGGGTCTAAGGACATAAGACCAAAGGAACATTCATGGGCCCCATAACTTGCCTTGGTGTCCCCCCCATCTGGCGATTGAGCCCACCATTTTCATGGATCCAATCATGGAGGTTAACTGGGCTAAAAACCAACTTAAAATACAACTTTTAAGTTTCCAACTTTGTTCTTTTCAATGAACTAGCATAAGGGCACGTTCACTAATATATACTTGTGTGCACATGCATATAAAGTTAATAAATCAGTCAAGAAATGTGAAGGTATTTTTGAAATAAGAAAAATTATCACTTAATAAATCAGTCAAATTTTCTCAAAGAAAAGAAAATCAGTCAAGGGAAGAAAAAAGAACAAGGAACAAAGTGTGGATGGGTACATTCTTTATTTGCTAAAACAAAACTAAATTAATAGAGGCCATTATTCATTATTTAATTGTGTGAAGAAACTGGATCCTGTTTGAACTTTGAACAGAGCTTCATTCTTTAATGAAGTTCACATGCTGGATTATATTTTGTGGGTGGTGGTGGTGGTGGCGGGTTAGAAATTAAAGAAGATAGAGAAAACTTTTGGATATCATAGTTAATCAATAATCAAATAGATCCTGCTTCTTTCTTTTGTATTTTGGTAAAGAAATAGACCATATTGACTGCCTGGACAAGTGTTTATTGCTTGCTTGACAAATACATTTATTTAGTGATCCCATGAGGATACAATCTGGGCTATTTCATGCTTAGTTTGGAAGTAAGTTAGAGTTTCAATGAAATGCACCAAATTATTTAAACTGATGAGCTAAAAGATGACACAAGACTATCATCAATAGGGAAGATACTTGAGCCAACTGTTGTTTAATCACCCAGTTAATTACTCCTGTACTGACTCATAGGCTCTTCGTCACCTGCAAAGCTGAGGCTTCAGCGTGATAGTTACATGATGATGCCACAGAATGGTCCACAATCATGTTTTAACCTAATGGAAGCAATCAGAACTACATCAACCCAAACCTCATTTGACAAGAGGAGTGGAGTACTGTAGAGAGAGAGAGAATGGAAAAGCAAGAGTATTATTGGGATTTCAAAGTTCGAAGATCGACAAAAGAGGGTGGAAAGAAAGAGTATTCTATCTTTTATTAGAGGTTCATTGGGATTTGAAAGTTTGAAGATGGACAAAGGAGATGGGGTAGGGTTGAAAGTTGAAATACTTACTCTTTTATTGCAGGTTAATGGGTTATTGGACGGTGTGCTTAGCAAAAAGAAAAGGATATTTAAAGGGTGGAGAATATTCTATATAACCCTTGGCAATTTCTGTTGGGTGATTCATGGACCAGATGGTTGAAAGCTTTTGATCAAGCTTTTACTCATGATGTGGGTGAGACCAGTCCAACTATGGGTCCTGATCATCCAACTATTCATCACGTGGCAAGTTAGGAGAAGCCCCAGAGCGCAAATTCCAGACCCAAAGGCCAAAGGCAGTTCCTTTCGTATTGCCATTGTCTGTCGTCTAGTTTAATTTACTGGAAAAGGGTAACTTCTTCTGTAAACGTTTATGGTTCAGCCTTGATAACGGCTCTCAAAAACCAGCTAGTTTTTCAACTGGGTTCTCAATGATTTCTCCATGGCTTCTTTTTGCCTTGATAGGCCTTGAATGAGTCAGCATTAATATC